GTAGCATTTTTCTAGATTCCACATATATGTGTTAATATATGTTATTTGTTTTTCTCTTTCTGACTTACTTCATACTGTATGACAGTCTTCAGATCCATCCACATCTCTGCAAATGGCACAATTTTGTTCCTTTTAATGGGTGAGGAGTATTCCATTGTATAGGGGTGAAAAAGATGAACTAGGATTTTGAAGGAAGAATGCATGAGAGAAGTCATCCATGTAGAAAACTAACTGGATTTGGGAAGCAAAGGAGAGAGAATAGTGAGGCCTCCGGGATGAGGAGGACAACATCAGGACCGTGTAGGTCACACAGAGGAGAAACAGAAGAGGCAGATTTGAGAGGAAATATGAACCCACCTCAGAATTTTGAGGGGAAGGAGGGCTTACCCAAATAGCCATGTCTACAAAACAAGAGGGAACACAAAGTGACAGATGAGGAGTGAGGGCTGGGCCAAACAAAGCTTTGAAAGTTATCTTCATAGATGTCATACCCAAAGTCAAGAGTCTATTAAGAGAATGCAGACAGAAAACCAGTCCATCAAGGGGCAGATCCAGGCTCACTCAGGATGCATCCTCAATCGCTGCCACATTTATCTTCCTAAAACACTTGGACTTTTTAGCACACATACAAAATGAAATCTAGATTCTAGCTGTTCAGAAACTCTTCAGAAATGTTGCTATCAACACCTATGCAATTCTTCTCACTTGCCACTTTTGCATGGAACCTTTCGTCCTGCTGGAGCATCCCACTAATGTTACTCATCAAAATATCCCTCCAGTGAGAATGAGCCCTCCACTAACATCCAAAAATAACCTGGCAGTCACCGACTGCCTGGTTTTGCGAGTCATCTTTCTGTTGTGGTGGTTGTTCAGTTGCTCAGTCATGTCCAGCTCTCTGTGACCCCATGGATGCAGCACACCAGGCTTCCCTGTCCTACGCTATCTCCCAGAGTTTGCACATGTCCAATGAGTCAATGATGCTATCCAATCATCTCATCCTCTGTCGCCCCCTTCTCCTCCTGCCCTCAATCATCTTCTTAGGTATATAAATTTTACCCCTATGTAGGACAGCAGTCATCTATGCAGTGTATCCGGGTCAGCAAACTTTCCTGTAGAGGGTCAGAATACTAAGTATCTTAGGCTTCACAGTCCTAATGGTCTGTCACAACTACTCAACTCAGCCATTGTGGTGCAAAAGCAAGAACAACATATAAACAAACGAGCCTGGGTGTGTTTCAATACAACTTTATTATTTATGGACACTGAAATTTAAATTTCATGTAACTTTCACTTGTCATGAAATCCTATTCTTTTGGTTCTTTTTTCCCCAGTCACCTGAAAATGTAAAACTCATGCTTAGCTTGCAGGCCACATAGAAACAGGCAGCAGGGCACAGACGGCTTCTGGACTTACAGTGGAGATCATTTCATAATGTATGCAAATAGCAAATGACAATGTAGGACACCTGAAACTAACATAGTATTGTATATCAATCATACTTCACTTAAAAAAAAAAACAGAAATTAAAAAAACAGGCAGCAGGCATATTTAGCTCTCAAGCATGGTTTGCTGATTCCTGCACTATAACATAATTATTTTTGCCCAACAAAATATCTTCTTTCCATTAAATGTTTACCATTAAATGTTTGATTTACCTATAGAGGGAGAGGCCCTCATTATTTTTCTTTAGTTAATATTAACATCTTGCATTTAACATGTAAAATCTCATTCACTACAAATGACAGGTAAGCTATCCCAATATTCAAATAGAAACTGAGGATCCCTAGTGAGAGACAGAGATCAAATCCAACACTAGGTTTTAATGATTCTGTCGGTGTCTGACATTGTCACGTGCTGATATGAGAGGAAAATAGCTGCCATGATGAGGATACACAGAGATGGAAGGAGCATAAGGATTAAATACCTTGATTTAAATACCAAATGTATTTTTATTTAAGGAATTTAACTATATAATTTTATCCAAATTTCAAAATTCTCCAAAAAAGATTTTATACTTTCCATTATACATATATAGTACTTAAGAACAGATTAGCAAACACAGACTTTATCACATTTTATAAAACATTTTAAATGATTCTGAAACAGCACTGCTATAAGATATGCTTTCTGAAAAATTAACAGTCCACAAAACATTTAACACAACCTCTCACTTTTACCAAACAAGTAAAAATAATGTCTACTTACTAATAAATAATAAAGCAACACAGAGCTTTCCAGCTTTCACCTCAAGACGAAAAATTAGAAGAAATGTCATTTCAGGTTAAGCTTACAATGCTCCAAAGAGAGAATATGAACATCTCAGTAGCACTTAAGACATAATATAGGTTAATAAAAAAGCAGCAGCAATATATGGAATAAAGCTCTTCTATATCACCTCATTTTTTTTAAGACACCAAAAGAACACCTTAAACTTTTCCCCCACCAAAATACTCATATCTTTTTCTATTACAGAAATATCTGTAATCTTTTTGACCACAATAAAAACCTCAGGTCTTACAGTTGGAAGTACAAGTGAATGGATAAGGCCTTAGAGAGAAGAAAAAGAAATCCAGTGTCTCTACCAACTAGGATACCAACTCAGGGGCCCTTTCAACATATGAGGTCAGGCTAAGGCTCAGGAAGGACAACCACAGAGAAAAATGTTTTCTCCTTGCTCCTTTCAACCAGCAGGATCAACTCTGTGCTCCCAGATTCAACCCATCTGAGGCTCTGCTTCACTTATCACCACCAGCACCAGTCTCAGGAGCTAAGCCTTCGATGTTACACCCTGGACATTGTTCATATGTTTAATATGCTCTGGGCATCTCTTAAATGTGCACCCATTCATCTGTGACTAAAGTATAAATGGCAACCTGGAGGCAGGTGAAGGGCCCCTGAACCCCAACCCCTCTCTGCCTCCAGTACTCTGTTTTGTCACTGCCCTGCTTCCATCTGGGGGGAGTGCCTCCCCTTCAGCTGCCTGCCTGAGCCCGACTCTATCTCTGTCTCACTCTCGGGGTGCGCAGTCAGAACTGACGATAACAAAGAGAAAGCATGATGTTAGACCGCCAGGGGGGAAAGAACCTTCTCAAGATCACTGCCTCTGAGCCAAGTGCCTTCCTTCTGTGCTCATCTAACCCTCACATGAGCCTGCTGGGGTACTAGTATCCCAGTTTTTCAGATGAGAAAGACAGACTGAAAGATTAAGGAAACTGCCTAACCACTAGACTAGCCAACCACGCCAATTCGCCTAGGACCGAAAGGGTTCCTGGGATGTGAGACTTTACACTGAAAACTGGGCAATGCTGATCTCCCTACGAAGGACACAAACCCCTTTCACAGGTTCAGACTTGAGCCAAGCCAGCTGGGCTTCAAGACCTATGCACTTTCTCTCAGAACTCCTCTGACAAACAAACTCCCTCTCTAACCTCAGAAGTCCTATTATTTTCCTCCTCCAGAGGTTCCTGGGCCTAACTTAATTCTGATGGAAAATATTTAGCCTCTTATTCTACCTTTTTCTTTGCAATGTATGCAGATCTTTCTTAACTCCCTAATACAGCGCATCTGAAAGACAACCATTCCCAGCTTGAACGGGACAATGAAAAATTAAAGCTAAGATTAAAAGGCAAGAGGGCCTACAGAGGACTGATGCCTTTTCAACTCTATTTCTCCTTTACTATCATTGGCAGTAAAATCCCTTTGGGGATGGGGAGATGGGCCAGAGATTATGTTATGCTATGCTACACCACTTCAGTCATGTCCAACTCTTTTGCGACCCCATGGACTATGGCCCACCAGGCTGCTCTGTCCATGGGATTCTCTAGGCATGAATACTGGAGTGGGTTGCCATGTCCTTCTCTAGGGGATCTTCCTGACCCAGGAATCGATCCCATCTCTCATTATGTCTCCTGCATTGGAAGGTGGGTTCTTTACCACTAGTACCACCAGGGAAGCCCCTAGATTGGGGAACCAAAAGCTAAATTGTTCATGTGTGAAGGATGTGGGTGTGGGAATGAAGTAAGCCTATTTTTTTTCCCCTCATAGTGGACTGAGGTAAAGATGAACATCCTAATTTAAAGCAAAAAAGAAATAAATAATAAACACAGTATAAGGAAGGCAGAGTAGTTCCCCGAGACCACCTGTTTTAAGGGATTGTATGAGCAGGTGGCTGAGCATCAGTCACAGTGAAGAAGTGTGTCTAAGGTTTACACTACCAGGAGGCCTCAGCCCTGTCACTGAAGCCTTATTCTCCAATGCCTCCATTCCAATCCCTGAGAATCCCAGGCTTGGCCTTGAGCTTACTACCTTCTCCACTTTTTCTGTGTTACCCAGTCTCAGAAGCCACCAATAAGACTTAAGACTTGAAAGACCAAGAATGTGGTCTGGCAACCCAATGAGGAACCAAGTACAAACTACAGAATGTTTCTGCAGGAAAACATAATTTTCTAAACAACTCAATGTCATCCGGAAACTACCATAACAAAACTGCATGCAAGAGAATACCTACGTACTTCCTCAAAGGCAACGGGGGTTTTACTTCCACAATACCTAGGGCAGTACTCAAATGAATGTTTAACAAATAATATTTACTAAATTCCCATGCTTGAGAAATTTCACTATTTTTCCTCTGGCCTTACTTCACGAACTCCCAACACGTGAGACTCAGCCCATAAGTCAGATCTACTTGCAGGCTACTCAATGTGGGCTCCACTGACTAGCTGCAAGTGCATCACCGGAGACCTGACCAAATCAGAACCTTTACTTGGGGGAAAAACAAACAAACAAACCCAGGTAAATCTCACGCACAATAAAGTTTGAGAAACATTGCCTTAGAAGTTTGCTATATACAAATCCTTCCAATCCCCAACTCCCATCTTCACATCAGCGTGAGAAAAGATGAAGCGCACGCCCTGCACCGGGTCAGCAATTAACCCACGAAGGGGCTGGCCCACATGCCTTCCCGGGATAACCTTCCTCCCGACAGTCTCCCATCCGCTCACCTTGATACGCTCCCCATCAATCTCCACCGCTCGTTCTCGGAAATCCACCCCGATCGTAGCCTCGGTGCGGTCGGGGAAGCGGCCGGCGCAGAAGCGGTAGGTCAGGCACGTCTTGCCCACATTGGAGTCTCCAATCACGATTATCTTGAAGATGCGGGAGCGAGCCGGTGGCAGAAACCCTGAGCCCCCTGACACTGCACCGCTGGATGAGAAGCTCGCCTCGAGCGACGACTCTATGTCCGAAGCCATTCTCCGGACCCGCCCCAAACTGAGGCGGAGGGAAGGAGAGGCTGAGAGGCTGCGAGATTACGCCACCGCCACCCAGCGCGCCCAGCCCGCGGCTTGCGCTGCTCGGCGTCCCCGGAGCCACCGCCCTCCCGCAGGCAGCGCGCGTGCGCACCTTCCCGCCGGCCTCCGCCCGCGCAGGTGTGGTGCCCACCGGCCCAGGCTCGCTGACCCTTCTGCCAGGCCTACGCCTCCACCGCAGCGTCAGTCAGGCCGGGGCCCGTCTACCCGCGAAGGCACTGGGCCTGTCGGGGACTTGTCGGTGGCGCGCAAGGCCGGCTGCTGAGAAGCCGAGCAGACCGCCCCGGGCCCGGTACCCTGGCTGGCCCGGCCCCGCCACGTCCAAGGCTCCCGCCCCCGGGAGGAAGCCGCGCGAGGACTCTGGGGGCGGGGAGGGAAAGCTGAAAGGAAGGAGGTACCGCCAGGCACTCTCTCGCGAGAGGGCGGGAGACCCGCTTCGACGCTGCCGTGGGCCGGACAAGGACGTGTGAGGTCTCCGGAAGGTTCGGCGCTAGCCTCGGCTTCTCGTTTGGGCTCCCCGGACTTGGAAGTGGAGGCGGGTCCTCTCGGCTTTGCAGCTGGGGGCCGCGGAGTCGGCCGCGTTCCCTGCTTCTTTCGGACGCTCGGGGTCGGGGGAGATGAGACAGCGACCAGGGCTGAGGGGCGCGAGGCGCCGCCAGAAGCCCGCTGGGCGCGGGAAACCCTTAGAGACGAGCTCCAGGCCGCGCGGAACTTGAGTCTGGGCAGGAGCAGGGTTGTCAGTGAGCAGGCGGGAGTTCGAGGCCGCCCGCCGCCTTCGCGCGGAGAATTTCGTTAGGCGCCGAAGCAGTGTTCCGATATCCGCGGGACTCAGGTGCCCAAGTCCGGCGACCCAAGAGAAGATCACAGGAGGGCCGGTTGGTGGCCTTGAACCCAGGAACTGGTACTAGATGGCCTCTCTCATGAGAGTATAACCCACTGTGCCCAAGTTATGTCTTCTGCCTGGGTGACGATGATGTAGCCGTTGAATATTACGGAGCACACACAGTTGTCTTCAGCCATATTTCTCAGGAAAATGTTAATAGACGAGATCACCCAGCCTTAAAGAGGATTCTCTGGATCACTGAGAGTTTTCCGAGGAAACCTACCATACACTTAAGTCATAGAAAAGTTCCAAAATGTGCAAAAATATTGCTTTTTGTGAGTTTTGTTTTCTGATAACAAGACGAGTTTGGGGGGTTTTCTGTTCGAGCGCATAGTTTGGAAATTCAGGGACTCTGGCGAGGGGGACATGGCATGCCTTAAATAGAATGAGGGGAACGACAGAGAACCAGAAGCCCTAGGAAAGGAGATAAACTGCTTATTTCAGTCCATAAAATGGAAATGTGGTCAGAGCAAACTAGTAGTAAAAGCTGAGCATGCGAGCTGCAGCAATTTGCAAAAGCCTTTAATAGACAATAATTTCTGTTGCGGTAGAAAAACTTTATACAGTTACTGATATACCAAGTTATGTTAGCCAGGGGGAAGAAGGTTACACACCTGGTTGAACGTGTGTACCAGGTGAGTAAATTACATTTACTCCGTTTCCTGTTAGAGAAACCAGAACATGGCCTGGAAAATCCTAATTGTTTACCTGTGACTTTAGTTCCATAAAGATAAATCCTAGAGACTATTAGAGAACCTTGGAAATATGCCTCTAATCTACTCTACTTATCCCATTTAAAGGATAGCATCTGAAGATTTAATAACAAAAAACAGTTGAAGAATTCAAAGCTGGATAACCAGGTAATTTTAAAGGATGGTGAAAAAGCATCAGTGTGTTTGCACCACAAGACCCTTGCTCTATATTTTTTGTATTCTGATTTTTTTGGCTTGGTCTTTTTCTTGTCTGTTTCTTTAGATCCTGTTCACATTTCATATCCTAGTTCAAAAGTCTCATCTCTGAGAAGCTACTCCTGATTACTTCAGCTCAGAATCTTCTTGATTTATTCTAAATCTAGTACACTTGGGGTATTGCTCTTTGGTCTCAACAATACTGTCTTCGCTGTTTGTTTCATGGTTACGTGTTGTGCCTTCCAACTAGATTGTCAGCTCTTGACTATGGATGGAGAGCTCATTGTTACTCAGCAAATGATGAATAAATGAGTTTAGGGAGAAATTTCTTGTGTAAGCATTGTCAGTTTGCACCCTTTACCAGTTATACACAGTTCAGCACCACTTAGATGGGAAAATCACTGTAGGCCCTTGACATTGTTACAAAGAGTTTTGTATTTCCAGCCTGCAATTTGAGAGATTGCTTATGTGAGTAAAGTGTATGTCACTGTTTTTTTATTGAATAATCCCAGAACCTCAAGGTTTGACTCTTGAAGAAGATGCTACTGTTGGGAAGAGTGGATGGATTATGCAGCCCTGTTTTCTGAGAATTCATTTGTTCTTGGAGTTTTTCACTGCTTGCTACCACTACCACTTGGCCTGAAAGTATAAGCATGTGACCCTTCCTTTCCTTCATATTTTACTACACAGCTGAGAAGAGACTGAATTTGGATCCTTTAGTGGTACAACTGGAATATTATACATAGTTTAGGGCAAGGAGGCTTATTTAAAAAGTATTTTTCTAATAGAAAAAAGCTGGATATGAAAAACAAGGGTAATCTTATGTACAAAATACAACTACTTATGGTCAACTTTTATTTATTAAGAGATGCATCCACCCTGTGGCAGAGGCCATTTTTTAACTTGTCTTAACCAAGGAGTAGCTCCTAGAAAACTTCACTCTTTTTTAAGTTCAGACCTGAGTACAGAGGACAAGAGAGAGTTTACCTGCTTGCCTCTATTGGCATTACTGACATTTGTGCCAGATAATTGTTTTTTTGTAAATTTTTTGAAGTATGGTTGATTTATAGTATTAAGTTAGTTTCAAGAATATAGCATAGTGATTTAGTACTTTTGCAGATTAAACTCTATTATAGGTTATTACAAGATAATGGCTATATTTCACTGTGCTATATAGTATATCCTTACTGTTTATTTTATAAACATAGTAATTTGTCCCTAACTTGTGCCTCCTCTCTTCCCTCTATCTTTTGGTAACCACAGGTTTGTTTTCCATATCTGTGAGTCTGTTTCTGTTTTGGATATACAGTCAGTTGTATTATTTGTTGGATTCCACATGTAAGTGATATCATGCAGTATTTGTCTGTAAGCCAGATAACTCCTTGTTGTGGGCAGCTGTCCTGGGCATTATAAGATGTTTAGTAGCATACCTGGCTTCTACCCACTTCCTGCCAGTAGTACCACACCCCTGCTTGTAACAACCCAAATCAACTCTAGACATTGCCAAATGCCCCTGAGGGGAATTATGTCCCTTTCCCACTCTTCACTGAGAATCACTGGCCTATATAAGGGCTTTTCTGCTAATTCTGGTTTCCTGTCCATCCCATTTGACAGCAGGAATCATCTCTCCCTTAAAGACAGAATTTCAGTTCGCCAGAGAAGTATAGCTTCGGTCTTGGTGGACTCCACCAGATTACCAAATCACTGGTTAATAGGTATCCCCAAATATTTGATGAGAGATGAGTGAATGAGTGAAGTCACTCAGTCGTGTCTGATTCTTCATGACCCCATGGACTGTAGCCTACGAGGATCCTCAGTCCATGGGATTTTCCAGGCAAGAATACTGGAGTGGATTGCCATTTCCTTCTCCAGGTTTATGAGAGATACTACATTATAAATAACAAGGATTTTAGTTTTAGCATCTAAGTAGCAAATTACCATCAACATTTTATAGGTAAATGTACTGAGTTTCAGAATTCTTCAAGTTATATATTCATAAATAGGATCATTGAGGGTTTATGAAATTTAACTATATAGCTCCACTGTGGTTGGGGCAGGGGAGAAGACTAGAAATTCTAGATGTGTTCAAGTGTGGCGGCAGACAAGGAGCTAAGTTAAAGGTGAGTGCGCCTGTGGCAGTGCCATTCTTCTTAATAAACTCAAATTATGAGTAAGCAAGACTTAAAAGTATTGGAGACATGCAAGATGCAGTCATGGTGGCCTTTGCTGTTTCCTTGATTTCATTCCCTTTCTCCCTCCTCACCTTTAGAATGTTTGATTATATAGCGTTCCCTGTATTTGATATAACAAAGGCAACTGATAATTCTGAAGATGATCTAAGTAACTAGGAGATTTAAAATTAAACTTTCTGCCTTGAAGATGTAGTTTTTTAATGTCCACATTTATAAACATTTATTTCTAAATAATTACACAGAAAAATCTCAATTTTAAGTTATACTGTCTGATACCAAAGCAATAAAAACAAGCTATTCTTTCTTTTTTCTTTAAGTAGAAGGAAAAAAGAAAATTTATCTACTATACTTGGAAGCTAAGAGGAAAATCTAATTCTGGTTCAAGGAGAAAAATCACAATCACTGATTTACAAACTGTTTATAAAGGAATGACAATGAGAACAATAAAACAACATAAGGATTCAGCTGAAGTAGTACATAAAGGAAAATCGCAGATCAATGTTTTAATACTAACCAATATAGAAAAATATTAGTCATGTTAGTAAATATTAGTAAAATCATAGTAAAAATATGGTTTACCTATCACTTACATAGTCCTTAATGTGTCAGACACTGTTGTGTTCTATAAAAATTAACTCGTAGAAGCAAGTAACATTCTCCCTTTTTTATCAATAAAGAATCTGAGGCTCGGAGAGTTAAGTGTTTTCCTGAAGTTCACTCAGCTAATAAGTGATAAAGTCAATAACCAAACCCAGTCCTTTGACCACTACATTACACTGCCTCTTATCTTAAATGAGAAAAACACAGTTTTAAGGCATAGCAGGCAAAATAATAATAGTAGACAGCAGTGAATTAGAATCCAGAAATACAGAACAGATCACAATAGGAAAGAGCTGGTTATTTGATATGTTCAATAAAGTAAATATGGCAAAATAAAAGTAGCAAAGATTTTAACACAGGAGAGAGAATGTTAGAAATGAAAAAGGAGGGACTTCCCTGGTAGTCCGGTGGTTAAGAATTGACCTTCCAATGCAGAAGACTCAGTTTCAATCCCTGGTTGGGAAACTAATCTCTCACATGCTGCAGGTCAACTAAGCCCGCATGCCACAACTAGAGAAGCCTGTGCACCACAATGAAGACCTAGTGCAGTCAAGAAAAATAAATGAAAAAGGAGATATACTCTGATAAAGGAAACTTTCAATATGAAAGAGTAAAAAAAAAGAAAGAATACAAGTGCATAGATGCATAAAAATATTTTGTTGAGCACCTACCACATAACACACAGGCCCTATACATGTAACTAAAGATATCGAAAAGATGCAGTTTGTGGAATTTGCTTGACAGAATAATTGAGAAAAAGGAATCTTCTTTACTCCAAGAAGATTTACAGAAATCTTGAGTCTTTGGCTGACTGCTTGTGACTACACAAGCTAAATAAGTATGTGTAGAGTAATACTCTGCAAGGCCAAGCAAAGATCAACTACCAAGAAAAGAACAATTACCAGGGAGCTATAAATGGAAAAATTCCCAGAGCTCATAAAGGACTGGATGACTTCAGAGTTACCAGCTGGAGTAAATACCTCACTAAACACTGAGGAATTAAGTAGAGACACCTGAAAGCTTATACGTTAGTAGTAGGGCTACATTAGCCCTAGATTAAAAGCTACTCTAGACGTAACCTAGTAACATTTAAAAACGCCTTGAAAGGATCAAACTGATCTACAAATAACTTCCTGCCAAAACAAGACTCAGTACTTACATACATACACACAAGACAATCAGCAATATAATGTTTTCAATGACCAGTATACAAAAAAATCACTAGATGTGAAACTTCAGAAAAATCTGACCCATAACCAAGAGAAAAATCAGTTGACAGAACCAGAGATGACAGAGATCACAGAGTTAGCAATAAGACATTTTAAAAGCTATGTGAATATAATCAAGAGTTTACAATTAAATGTGAACATTCTGATAAAAATGGAAGATATGTGGAAAAATGAAATTCAACTTCTGGAGATGAAAAATACAATATATGAAAAAAATTTTAAATCACTGTAGAACCTTAACAGCAAATTAGATACTGTAGAAGACTGGTGAACTTGAAGCCAGCAATAGAAGCTATTCAAACAATAGCACAATTAAAAAAAAAACAAACACATAATTAAAAAGGCAAGAGTTTCAGTTTCATGGGGAACAATAGGACTTGCTCTAATATACAGGGCTTCCCTGATAGCTCAATTGGTAAAGAATCCACCTGCAATGCAGGACACCCCAGTTTGATTCCTGGGTTGGGAAGATCCTCTGGAGAAGGGATAGGCTACCCACTCCAGTACTCCTGGGCTTCCCTTGTGGCTCAGCTGGTAAGAATATGCCCGCAACGTGTGAGACCTGGGTTCAATTCTTGGGTTGGGAAGATCCCCTGTAGAAGGGAAAGGCTACCCATTCCAGTATTCTGGCCTGAAGAATTCCATGCACTGTATAGTCCATGGGATCACAAAGAGTTGGACACGACTGAGCTACTTTCACTTTCACTTCAATATACAGGTAATTGGAGTACCCCTGAGAGACGGCAGTATTTGAAAAAATAATGCCGCAAATATTTCCAAATTTGATGAAAACTATACTATCATAGATCTAAGAAGCTCCAAGAACCCAAAGTAGGATAAACAAAAAGAAAACATCAAAGCACTTTATGATCAATTGCTGAAAACCAGTGAGAAGAGAATCTCATAAAAGCAGCCAGAAAAAAAGAAAACAATAAATACATAAGAACAAAGAATAGTCACTATATATCAGAAACAGAAAAAACAAGACAGTATCTCTAAAGTGCTGAAAGAAAAAAAAAAGTCAATCTAGAATTTTTTTGTGGAGCAAACTTCTTTCAAAACTTAAGGTAAAAGAAGGACATTTTCAAATAAAAGCCAAGAGAATGTGTCACAACAGACCTTATGCTATGTAAAATATTAAAGGAAGTTCTTGAGATCAAAGGCAAATGATATCAGGTGGAAATGCAGAACTACACAAAGGGATGAAAAGCACCAGAAATGGTAAATATCTGGATAAATTTTAAAAGACTCCTTTCTAATTAAAATTTCTTTCAGAGTTGACTGTTTAAAGCAAAAATAATAGCGGTATACTATGGGGAGTATAACATATAGAAAAAAATTATATGCCGATAATATCACAAAGAATGAGAGGGAAAAACAAGTATACATATATAATAATAATATGTATTATAGTATGACTAATAAAAGTAGACTATGATGAGTTAAAGATGCATATTGTAAAACTTAGAACAACAACAGAAATGATGAAAGAAGCACAGCTAAGGCAGTCAATAGAGTAATTAAATGGAATATTCTACATATTACTCAAAAAGGAAGCTAAGAAAAGAGAAGAAAATTTAAAATATAGACTGGACAAATAGAAAACAAATATCAACTATATCAATAATTAAATTCATTGTAAGTGTTCTAAACCGTGCAATTAAAAAGACAAACCTCTCCAAATAAATAAAGCAAGGTCTAATTATGTACTGTTTACAAAATATGATGTACTTCTTACAAAAAAGGCATCATCAACATAAAGACACAGGTAAGTTCAAAGTAAAATGATAAAAGATGTGCAAATACAATAAAGCTGGAATACCTATATTATTGTCAGACAAAGTAGACTTTAGGAAAAAGAATTTGGCCTATCCTCAAGACCGGGGATAAAGACAGATGTTTCATAATAATAAAAGTCAATTAATCAAGAAGGTATAGTAACAAAGCTTCAAATTACATGAATTAAAAACTGACAACAGAAAAGAGAAACAGACAAATCCACAATTATAACACATTTCAACATTCACCTCACAGTTTTTGATAAGTTGATTTAAAAAATCAGCAATGATATGGAAGACTCAAACAATTTATCAACCACTTTGACCTAATTAATATTTATAGAATTCTACATCAAACAATGGCAGAGTACATATTTATTTTAAAACGCATATAGAACATTCCACGAAGATACACCATAAACTGGGAGATATTTTTTTAAGTTTTCAGTAAATTTAGAAATGACTGAAAGTATCAGTCAAGGTCCAATCAGGAAACAGAAACCACAGTAATTTGACCATGCAAAGTTTAATATAGAGAATTATAACTATGATGAGACTGGGATAACCGGGTTCGCTAGTAGAAAGTAAAGAGAACCCTAAATGTTATAGAATGTCAGATAAAAGAATTAATTACTACCCTTAGGGCTAAGGTAGATTCCCCATGGTGCACCTGGGCCATGCCCCAACTCCAGGCTGAGATCCAGACCTTGCAAGAGGACAAGTTGTTGTGGTGGTGTTTAGTTGCTAAAAACTCTTTTGCGACTGCATGGACTGTAGCCCGCCAGTCTCCTCTGTCTGTGGGATTTCCCAGGCAAAGATCCTGGAGTGGGCTGCCATGTCCTTCTCCAGGGGATCTTTCTGACCAGGGATCAAACCCGGATCTCCTGCACTAGAAGCAGACTCTACCACGGAGCCACCAGGAAACCCATAGAGGACAAGGCCACGGCT